AGCTCTTTCCTCTATTTCCCTTGATTCTCCTCCTGTCCCACTATCATGCTCAGTCCCCACCAGGATTTCAGCAGCTTGACAGGGTGTGATAGGTAGGTTTATTGTGCCAACATGGCTAATGAACACGTGGGATTAATTGAAGGGCGGAGAGAGAAATGGCTCGGCGAGCCTTGCCTTTCTTGTCTCTTGCTCTTTGATTATCGGACCAGTGTGCGGCTGCCTTGCTTGTTCTGTGTCTCAATTTACAAGCTACACTACCTGTGGGACACCTAACTCGCTGCAATTTGAGGTTCCTTCAAGACCTGGTTCGCCACACCATTGGAATTTACATCTCTTGAGCTGGGGACTGTCGGACCCTGTCATCTGGCTGACTGTTGGTGACCTCCTTGCTGTTTGCTGCCTGTGGCCGGATAGCCTGAATTGTTCTACAGAGGACTACCTGGTGGCCTGCCCTAAGACTTGAAGGACTGCCAGTGTATTAGCAGTCTCACAGAAGTGAGTTGCACTGAGCCATTTGTACTGATTTATAGATTAATTAACTGTTTGGTTCTTGTTACATATCTACCTAAATATATATAAAATTATTAGTGTTCTGGTTTTGTTTCTCTAGAGAACCCCGTCTAACAATTGTTACCGAGAGTGGGGTGGGTCAATTGTTTCTAGGGGCTCAATAACCTCCTCTTCTGGATCATCAGCCCATATGTTCCCATCCCATGTTTCAGGGTCCCAACTTTTTCCTATCAATGCCCTCACTTTGGTATCAGACACTGCTCTAGATCTGCAATTCAGCCAACGTTGTAATTCAGCCACTCGCATAATGAGACACTGGGCCTGGTTCTCAGCAATGTCAGCTCTATTCCTAGAGGAGAGATGGCTCTCCTTTGTAGCACAGATGGAAGCTTTCAAATCTGTTAGTCTGCACCTGAGGGCGCTTCTGAGGCTCTGAGAGCATCCCTCTCCTTAATCACACTTTCTATTATAAGAAGGACCAGCCAACCAGCTTCCCTATACCTGTCATCCTGACAAAACTGCTGGAAAATATCAAATGTATGATCACTCAGAGCCTCTCCTTTAACCAGCACCTCATCTATTGGTGATAATACTGTAGACATTAGCTTTGCTATTTCACACCATGGATTAGTAAGAGTGGCAGACTCATCCATGTGTTTGGGTGTAGAAATAGCATTATCAGCACTCTTAAGCCTAATCAGGCTGGAGAGCCAATTTAAGAAGCCATATTTATGATTTTATTTCTCTAGAACCACTCTCGTTAGGGCTACCGAATATGCGATGCTGCACCAAGCTGCTGCTCTTTCCACTGAGCAGTGGCGCTTGAATCACTCACATTATCGTTGGGGTAGAGGACCCGGGAGATGTTTTCAGCCAGGTTTCGATCCAGCACAGCCTGGATGTAGTCTCCAACGTTAACTGTGGGGAATGTTAGAAAAACAAATGAACAGAGAAGCCAGCCACTGCCCCTGCAAGCCTGTAGATCTAGTGACATCAGTTGGGGGTATAGACTGCACTGGGTGACATTGCTGGAGAGGGTGACACCAAAATGACTATGACATTTAGGGGCAGTATTTCAGCAGAATATATATATTTAACAATAATAGTTCTAAGAATGAAAACATTTTTTCATAAGCCCAACTTACATGTGCCTACAAGGCTGAATGAAACCTAACGAACCCCAGTCTGAGCTGCCGCCATTACCCAATTAGAATGACAGCTTGAATTTCCCGATTTTGTCTGCAAGTGCTGTTGTTTTCATTGCTGCCAGTGTTTTTACAGTCACTGATTTTTGTCAAAATAGCTAATGGCTTAGCTAGAACATTGTGGTCATTAGTATTTGTGAGCCTATACCAATACGTTTTTTGAGAAAGAAGGAATTAAAAGAAAGGGAGAATTCAAAAGATCCCAGAAACTTCAATTTGATTTTAACTAGCCATCAAAAGGCCTGCACACAGACACACACACAGAGACCAAAGCCCAGCCATACTCACAGTCTCTGAGGTTAAAGTCATTTGGTGCCCGAGCAGACCACAGGCGCATGGTATTGACGGTGTTGTTCATATATCCCGGCACCGGGGTGTCATACGGCAGGGCCAGGACGACCTGTGGAATTAAACCAGGGCAGTTGCTCGCTGTCTCCAAGGTGGGATCATGCAGGTTGAACAATCAGTTGGAGACCGCCAACTAGAATTCTATTTCTGGCTCTATCCTCACTCGAATTATGTGAGGCCTGGCCCCAGGAGAGGATCTCAGGGTGGGAGGGTATTCGAGGGCATTTGATGTGGCCCTCCCCACTCACCCTCACCCCCCACAGTGATTGCCTCCACTATCCCACTGGAACAACCACATCCAAACTGTTCAAAGGGGCCGTCTTCTATTCTAAGTGGTCCTCCTTCACGAGCCTTATTTTGAACAGGGAGCAGGGAAATGGTGCTGTTGTTGTTAAGGGCTGTCAAATGATTCTGACGACAAGACTCTGTCTCATGCACTTTAGCCATGTTTTCAGGAGAGACCAGTCCCCAGAGAAGGACATCATGCTTGGTAACCTAGACCCCAAAAGCCCCAAACTCACTGCCATTGACTCGATGTTGTCTCGTAGTGACCCAATAGGACAGGGTAGAACTGCCCCTGTGACTTTTTGAGACTGTAAAAAGCCTTGTCTTTCTCTGAGGAGCAGCTGGTGGTTTTGAACTGCTGACCTTGCGGACAGCAGCCCACTGTGTACCCACTATGGTACCAGGGCTCCATGGGCAGTGACAAAGATGGGCGGATGCACTGGTTGCAACCTTGGGCTCAACACAGGAGCGACTGTGAGGATGGTGCGGGACCAGCAGGGTTCCGTTCCGTTGTCCATGGGGCCCTATGGGTTGGAGAAGAGTCGCCGGCACCTAACATCACCACAGTTGGTTCTGACGCACAGCAATGCTGTAGCATAGAGGAAAACTGTCTCATCGTTTGCCTGTGGCTATAATCTTTATGGGAACAGCGCATCAGGTCTTTTCTCTGTGTGGCTTTGGGTGGGTTTGACCCGTCTACCTTATGATTAGCAGCAGAGAACTTAACCTTACGGACTCCTTCCCTTAGAACAGCGGTTCTCAACCTGTGGGTCACGACCCCTTTGGGGGTCGAATGACCCATTCACGACCCGATTCATAACAGTAGCAAAATGACAGTGATGAAGTAGCAACGAAAATAATTTTATGGTCGGGGGTGGGGTGGGGTGGGGCTCACCACAACATGAGGAACTGTATGAAAGGGTCGCGGCGTTAGGAAGGTTGCGAACCACTGCCTTAGCACATGATGCTCTCGATTAAGTTTAAATACAAAGAGTTGGAGGAGGCAGGGGGGAAAATGAGGAGCTGATACTAAGGGTTCAAGTAGAAAGAAAAAGATGGCAACAGATGTACAAAAGTGCTTGACACAATGGATCTATGTACGTATTGTGACGAGAGCTGTACGAGCCCCCAATAAGATGACTAAATAAATCAATAAATACAAAGAGTTTATACCCATTTAAAAAGTGGCAATTGAGATTGGTTTTTATGTAAGTTATTTAATGATCTGACTTCCAAGATTGTGAAAATGAATGGAACAGGAAATTTATGTAGATGTTCAAAATCCCATGCTAAATTTTTCAGAGTTGCATGAAGATGGGATTTCAGTGAATCCGACAGCCATTGGTGGCCCACTTAACAATTAGCTGAGAAGAGGCCAATGGGTGAGCGCTGGAAAACTGAACTCGATTCAGACACGGACACAGAGGATACGAAGATGAGCAATCTCACAGGGAATTTACAATTTATGGGGGAAACGCGTCATTCCTATGACTTGCCTCATCAGAGCCAGGCTCCAGGGAAGGAGAAAGACAAAATAATTACATCGGAGGAATGCTAGAAATCAGTTACTGAGAAGCAATCAATTGGGAAATGAACTGGTTACGAGAGAAGAGACTTGCCCACAGTCACAGTCGGTGGCAGCGTTGAAAGCTCCACATACATCCCTGTAACGCGGTCTCCTGAGTCATGACTGTAGGAAGCATTTCAGTCCCTATCAATCACATCTACTCAGGCACGCATTCAGGATCACCGTGACCTGGAAGTAATACATCACCCTTATTTGAACATCTTTCACTAGGTAATAAAGGTTTCTGGAGAATGTTAAAGCAAGCTGTGATCACTCTGGAAGTCACAAAATGGGATCATTTCTTCATACCTGATGTGTCCTGATACTCAATGTGTAACCGAAGCAGCCAGGCAAGTGCGATCTTCCTTGGGAGACCTTCACTGAGACTGCACTGTGAGGAGTGTTGGCAGCTGACTGCCTCCAGATGCCACCCCAGAGCGCATGCTTGGGGCATGCTCATCAGGGCATTCCCAGTCTCAAGCTGGGACTTTGGAGCCTGCCACCTACCCCCAAGCCAGGCTGAGATTTGCTCAGAGCTGCAGGTGGAAGCTCCTCCTGCCCAACCCTCCCCTCTCCCCTTCTCCTTTCGCGGATGTCACACCCGCACCCGAAGGACCCCTCGGCGCCTCCTTTGTCATTCATAGGCCCTTCCGATATATGTCGCTTGCACTTTTAATTCCCTTAGGGTGGCTGCTTCTCGGAGGAACCTGAACTGACACAGGAATAAAATAAACCGTTTCCACGAGCTGCCCACTGCCTGCACAGAGTGTGGCTGAGCGCATGCTCTCTGACCTCACCCGCTGCCAATCTGGGGCTGATTCAGGTGATGGCTTCCAGCCATAACATCCTGCACGGCTTGGGTCAGCTTGCCTTGCGCCACCTCTGCCCCATAACCTGGCTTTGTGAGCACAGAAAAGCACACGCTCTAATTGGATTCCTGGACACCTCGTGAATGCCTACATGTGCTTTGTACAGACAAGTTAGCTTCACAGACAGCGCCAAGGTGTATAAAACTACTTGCTAGTTGAATATCAAATACACGCGTGAATTCCTTTGGGCATATTAGTGATGGGCCGGTTTCAGTTCTCCTGATATCTGTAAACAAGTGCAATTTAGATTGTGGTTTACTATTTTAAGAACAAGAAAAATAACTTATTTTGAAATCATAGTATGTTTCTTCCTTACACTATTGTCCCGAGCAGGGGTGGCATAGTGGGTTAAGCCTTGGCTTGCTAAATGCATGGATGGCAGTTGGAATGATAAGCTGCCCCAGGGGAGAAAGATGAGGCTGTCTGCTCCCATCAAGATTTACAGTCTCAGAAAGCCTAAAGGGCAGTTCCTGTCCTACAGGTCACTATCAACGCCATGCAGACAGGTCTGGTTTTTGGTAGACCATTATAAAGTAAATGACCGATTTCAGTTTCCAGTGCATTACCTCATATGTTGAATAAATTCACATCAGCATAAGAAAACATTTTCCTTTTTAAGTCTCGTGTTCTGAACTGTGAAGGCAGCTCTATGCAGATCAGTGGACCAACTTTAAAAAAATTAGTTATAACCCGTTGTGTTTCTATGATGGCAAAATGAAATATTTACTTGGAGAATAATCTATAAATCAATTGAGTTTAGTATAAGCATACGGAATTATGTCTTCAATTTCGATACACTCATGACAGCATTACTAACTTGGCCATTACCATTTCTTTTATAGGAGAAAGAGGAGGCTTTTTGCTCCCGCTAAGATTTTTCAGCCTGGGAAACCCTCTGGGGCAGTTCTAGGGGTTGCTCTGAGAGGAAGGCAGGGAGGTCTTTTTGGAAGGTCACTATGAATTTGAATGAACTCCTTTGAATTGAAAGGTTTTTCTACTTCCTTTAAATTCCTAAAGAAAGGTTATTGATAAACAGTTCGCCTGAAAGATAAGTATATATTCCAAGTGGAATCTTCAGTGACTGGATGCTGCAGTCTAGTGATTGATAGGGGTTATTTATCAAGAATTGAAGGTAGTACAGCACAAACCACAACTCAGGGTGCTTAAAAGTGAATTGTCTGGTGAGTGGGTAATACTCAGATCTAGTGGCTAATACTCAGGTTAAATGCAGGACGGAGAAGTACGTTCAACCACTTGGACAGATACCAGCATCATTTCTCTGAAAATAAAGATGCTTTGCATTATATTTATTGACTTCACAATGGATAAGAGTTTTGGTAATCCTTTGAATACACACTTTAGCATTAAAGTATTTATCCCCGAGGAGCTATAAGTAAATAAATATATGGTGGTCAGGTAAAGTATAAGCAAGTTTATATAAAACTAACGAATTAGGATGCAGAGTCTCACAGCATTGATTAGCCCTCATGGTGTCAGCTTGCACAATGACTGTGGTAAGTCACTTGACCTTGACAAAGACACTTCTCTCTTGGCCTTCACTCCCCTTTTCCCTACATAAGTGGATTTCATTAGGTGGAATATTAGATTTATGTTTTAAAATATACTCTATCATGCAGCATGACACATACTACCCTCGCTATCATGTGCACATTATACACAGCCTGTGTACCTATGCTATAGTATCAAAATGCTCACTCCGAGGACACTCTGAGTACCTGAGTATCAATCCACTTGGTCCCCGTCGCGGTATGCTCCACTCTTCCATAGAAGTGTACAGGCAGCATGAACTCCGGGCGGGCCTTCTCCCATGGGTTGCCGTGTCTGAGCCAGTCATCTGCCTCTTCTACCTGTAAAACAATCAGAGTTTAGAAGTACTTTTCAGACCTAATTCTTTAATGAAATCAAACACAAATCTCTTCAACAGAAACTCAGAAATACTGCTTTATCAAGAAAGAGTGATGGCCCAGCCAATCTCAATTCATGCTTGCTCTTATCATACAATCTAAATGGACAACACCAGTCATTGTTAATACTGCTCCAAATGTCTCATAGGTATTACGGCATTTAATTCTCAGAGCAACTATGGAGCGAACTATGGTTTTCCCCTTTTAAACAGGATGCAATTTTGTAACCTACCCAAGATTACACAGACAGTAAATGATACAGCTAAAATCGTTCCTGGGTTCTACGTATCCCAGAGCCTTTGTCTGAAGATGTGTGAATGCAATTGTTAAGCTTGAGTTTAAGGGGCCCTTCAGGACATTGGGAGCCTTGGTGGTGCTGTTGGGTTGCAGTGGACTGCTGACGGGTTCAAACCCACTAGCTCCTCTGTGGGAGAAAGGCGAGGCTGTCTATGAAACCCTACGTAGGCTCGCTCGAAGTCGGAGTCCTCTTGATGATCCTGACTGGGATGTACAACAGTATCTCTTTGAATTAGTCTTTGCCAATTGACTGGACTGTCCCAGTCTTTAAACCAAGCAAATCTACCCCAGGAGATTATTGGTTATGTCTTGAAAGTTATCTCCAACTGTGCCCCCTATGTGCTTTTATTCTATGACTATGAATGCAGCACATACAAGCATGTATCTGCATATGCCTATAGACCTATACAGACACACCTCTACAAGAATACCCATATACGACACACATGTAATGCATATGTACTATAGGCATTCATATCTGCCTATTGTTGGTTATTATTGTTGCGAAATTGTATTTTTTAAAGCCCTTTCCAAATTGTCTCTTATTCTTCTGTCCATACATCTGTCATCATTGATCTTGGTCAAGTTGTGCGTTCCACTTTCCTGGTGGAGCCCTGGTGGAGTAGTGGTTACATGTGGGGTTGCTAACCACAAGGTCAGTAGTTCCAACCCACCAGTCCCTGTTATCAAGAGGGACCAGTCCCTGGAGGCGATCATACTTGGTACAGTACAGTCAACCGAAAAACGGAGACTCTCAAGGAGAGAGACGGACACACTGGCTGAAACAATGGGCTTAACGAACAATAGCAACTGTGAAGACGGCACAGGTTCCGTTGTACACAGGCTTGCTGCGGGCTGGAATGGCCTGGATGGCACCAAGTAACCAGCAAGTGTTTAAGAGCTCCAATGTGCCCACAACCTTCTCAGCACTTGTCCTGTGTTTTGATCGGTGCCATTTTTGCAGGGATGAGATGTCTAACTCTAATGCGTGGGGTGTGTTTTAAAAAATAAATAGGAGGGGGCTTCAAAGAGTTTGTGGGAAAATTCCATTATCTTTTAATTTCAATGTTCCATGAACTTTACCTGCTCCTCTGGATTCCCGAGACTCTAAGTCTTTTTAGAGGAGGAGCAAGCAGCCTCCTCTCTCCCATGGAGTGGCTAGTGGGTTCACTGAACTTCTGACCATGTGGTTAACCACCAACTCTCACCCACTGCTACAGGGCTCTAGGAAAGACTGAAGGAAAAGCTGAGCCAATCAGCACTTCTCAAAGTGAAACGTGGGTGTACACCAGCCATCTCATTACAACGCACATCCTCAGTTGCGATCTGAAGTCCTGTCTTTCTAATAAGATCTTAGGTTCTGCTGATGCTGCTGGGCCCTTGACCATATGCAGATAGGCATATGCATAGAGCAATGAGGAACTGTGTGGTGATGCAAGCCAGGAGCTTTAATTTTATCCTTCTGATTTTACAGCGAGATCTCCTGGGTCCCCAGTTGGAAAGAGAACACAAACAACGTAACATGGAAACCTGATGCGACCAGTTGATTTGAAGCTTCAGTGAGAGTCCACTGGTTTGTGTTACTAACTCAAAATGTTACAGAATGCGGTGTTGATAAATGAGGATGTCAACAAAGGATCAGAACCCCCTGGATTACAATATGCCGCCGTGCTTAGTGAGGCAAGGGCAGCTTGGGGGTTTTAAGTCAGTGGTCAATGTGAACACTGCTTCCAGTAACAGGAAGGAACTGCAGGCCTGTTTGCCTTGTTGCAGCACCTAGCGCTGTGGTAAGACCCCAGAAGGTGGTGCATAGAAACAGGACAATGGCGAGAGAGTTACTGTCTTCTACGTGGGAGTACTGCTGAGAGAGACGCAGCATATATGAGCAGGCCTCGAAAACTAGGTGGAAAAATGGAATTCAAAGTGAGTGGAATTTTCCCACACACGTTTCAAAGTCTCCTCCTCCCCTCAAGAAGCTTGGCATGTTTGTGGAACAGAAGATACTAGGCTCTGGGCTTCCCACCACCAGCCTTCCCCTAGCCACATCCCATGTCAATCAGAGGCTGCAGTGTCTCGTTCTTGAGTGGTCGTGACTAGCTGGTTGCTCTCAATGTCATCTTACGTTGGCCTCCTTTTTCCTCACCAACTAACGGCTGGTGAACATTCTGTCCAAGACCGCACTTGCTTGCTGTCTTCATGGAGTCCTTGCTGCAGGTACAGACCCAGCGAACAACTGCCTCAGTATTTGCAAGATCTGGTTTTAATACAAAACAAAGACCAAGTCTTGCATAATCACAAGCTGGTCCTAGCAGATCTGAAGAGAAAAAGAGAATTGCCTCCGGCCACTTCCCCAGAAAATGGCCTTTCTCCCAGCTTTCCCCCAGTGGATTGACACCGCACTGGCTGTAAATGAGGATTTCCACGTCGCCAGCTGTCCTGGATGCAAGCACGTGTAGGGACACGTGGAGTAGGGCGGCAAGATGGGAAAAGGGCTTTTATATACATCCAAGTGTAATGATAGCTGTCCCAGCCCAGAGACGACACAGGGCTACGACCCAGCCAGTGCGGCACTGTGGGGCAAAGGAGCAGAGTGCCAACGTGGTGGGGGGAGGGCAGCTGGCCTTGGCTTCCACCCAGAGGCATTACTCAATGGAACCTGTCTCCCGGCCAGCATGGAAGCAGAGGCCGGCTCAGGGGGCTCCGTCACTGACCCAATGCTAAGAAGTGCTTTCCTCCTCCACAAAGACCATCCAACAAGGAGCAAACATCAGGAAAAGTCCATACATTTTGCATTTGGTGGTTCCAACAAACGAACGCTGTCTCTGGGCAGCTGCCAAAACTCAGCGATGGAGTTTCTGAGTGGTGTAAACGGTTCATGTTCTCCCCTGCTAGGACGCACGCTTCTGCCAACAAAAAGCGAGCTAGCTAGAGCCCACCCAGAGGCGCCGCAGAAGAAAGGCCTGGCGATCTACTTTTAAAAAGGAGACGAGTGAGTGATACACCGTGCTACTCTGACACACATGGGTCCTCCTTGGCTTGGAGCTAAGGCCACGGAGCCTTGAAACATTTTCTTCAAATGAGGTGTTTGTTGGGTCACGATAACAGTGCTGGTTACAGAAAACCCTAAGAGTGCTGGGGCAGATGCTGACTGATTCAGCTGAGGGTACTCCTGCAAGTGTACTGCTACCCACAACTGTGGTGCAACTCTGAACCTTGCAGTTCATTGCCTCCCCCTCTTTTTAGTCCAACCCCCAAGCTCACGGCCATCGAATCAATTCTAACTCATTGCAACTCGATTGAGGGTTGCTGAGGCCATAAATATAGACAGGAGCAGATAGCCTCATCTTTCTGCCAAAGAGTGGCTGGTGGGCCAATGGTTACCTGGCAGTGCCACCCGGCTTCTTCTCTTTCTGCTACACGGCCAAGTTAATTTCACAGAGAACTAAAATTGTTTGGGTTATGATGATCCCAGCAGAGCTCAAGTGAAGATGTTTAGTGATAAAACTATTTTCTCCATGGGATTTCACAATGAATACTTTACTCCTACAAATATTTTAGCTCAAAACGTAAGTCAATCAACCTTTAAAAATTCTTGCCTTTGTTAGCCTTCTCCACCCCCGCCCTCATGAGAGCCCAGTAACCTGTCCTGTTTTTCTCTATGAAATGACTTCTTTTCCATGGTATGATACCTTTTTACATCTTCTCTTTAAAATTCCATCCCGATATGACAAATAACAATTTATAAACTATCAAGGGCTCATGAGGGAAGGGGTGCGGGGAGGGAGTGGAAAAATGAGGACCTAATGCCGGGGGTTTAAGTGGAGAGAAAATGTTTTGAGAATGATGAGGGCAATGAATGTACAAATGCACTTTACACAATTGATGTATGTATGGATTGTGATAAGAGTTGTATGAGCCCCTAATAAAATGATTAAAAAAACAACATAAAATAAAATTCCATCCCAATAAATGATACATATTATAGATCAAGGGAATGCATGTCCTTAAGATTCAGTTGTAAGTCACACGGATCCAAAAGTGATAGGCTAGCTTGGGAGTATTTTGAATTAGCAAGAGTCACCCATCTCTCTTCCTCTAAGCACAATAAGCGGAGCCAAACCCACCACAAACAAGGCAAGCCTCTATTTCTGAGACAGCACATCTTTACTGCAACAGGAAGCCTCATCTTTCTCCTGAGAGTGACTGGCTTGAACCTCCCACTCTCTGGTTAGGACCCAACACCTCACCCACTGTACCACCCACCTCTTCGATCTGATCAACCAGAACAGGGTAGTTTCATGAACGAAACACAACTTCAAAGTAACAGCAAGGGTTGAACCCACTGCTCTCCAGTGTTCCTGGCTTATAACCATCCTCAGGGCAGGGGAGGATGCCCCAGGGGCCTCCAAGGCTGGACATTTTCATGGGAGCAGAAGACCCGGAAGTTTCTCCTGGTGGTTTCAAACTGCTGACCTGGTAGTTAGCAGCCCAAACATGTAACTCTTCTGTGCCACTGAGATCAAGAATGCGTTTGACCAAATGTGGAGAGAAAATGCTGGGCTTTTTCCACATTCTCATGCACAGCGGTTAACCAGGTAGGAAAGAAAATCCTTAAACACCCTGTGGCACAGAGAGTCCCACACTTTCAAAGGCTGAATGAAACTGGACACCATGTGATGTTTGGTCCGGCCGTGTGAAAACGTGTCATGCTCAAAATGCCTGCTCAGCTAGGCTTCTCAACGTGCAACTCTGGGGCAGGGAACCCATTCTTTTGTTTCTATACTTTTCGTGATTATGAAATGTACACTTCTTAGGAAATAGGAGAGAAGTAAGAAAGCAAATGGAAGATGGCAAATTTGCCTGTAATCCCACCTCCCAGAGATAATTACGGTTGAGGCGTCAATGTAATTTTTTCCAGCACTTCTGTTTCTCCGGCTCTCTCCTGAGTTGAAGTCATTTTGCTTCCACAGAAATCTTACACAACTCTGACAACAAATCGACCTGAGTAATTTCTCATCTCATTGAAATGAATGAAAGTCAAATTCTTAATGTTAGATGCCGTCAGTCAGCCCCAACGCAAACTATCCTGAGACCAACAGACTGAAGCACTGCCCCGTCGGGCCTGCATCGTCCCCACGATCATTCTTATCTGTGAGTCCAGTGTCGATTCCTCTTGTCAAGGGCCTTCTCCTCTTTGTCACTGCCCTCTACTTGGCCAAGGAGGACACCCTTCTCTAGGGACTGGCCTCTCCCGACAACCTCTCCAAAGTGCACGAGACTCACCATCCTTCCCTCGAAGGCGCATTCCGCCTGTCCTTCTTCCAGACAGAGCTGTCTGTTCTTTTGGCAACCGGGTACTTTCCATACTCTTCACCAGCACCACGGTCCAAATGCATCCGTCTTTTTCCTTCGGTCTTCCTTATTCCATGTCCCACTTTCACATGCGTACGAGGCAACTGAACGTAGCTGCTTTTCAATACTCTAAAGAGGTCTTGTGCAGCAGATACGCGCAGCGCAGCGAGCCGTTGGCGCTCTCGACCACTGCTTCCAGGAACATTGACTGTGGGTCCAAGCAAGATGAAATTCTTGACCATTTCGGTCTTGCTCCATTTACCACCATGTCACCTATTGGTCTGTGTGTGAGGATTCGGTGTTCTCTCTATTGGAGTCGCAAGTCTACTGAAGGCTGCAGTCCTTGATAGCCGTGGCCAGGGCTTCCAGTCCTCCTCGCTTTCCGCAGGCCACGCTGTGTCACCTGCATGTCTTGCAGGTTGCTATAAGCCTTCCTCCAATTCTAATACTGGATTCTTCTTCGGATTTTATAAGACCCCAATTTACACAGCTGTCCTCCTTTTCCTAGGTAGAGTACGCTTATTGGGTACTTATTTGTATACCAGGTGTTTTACATTATCCCAATGTTTCTGTGAAATTGCTATCTCCATTTGGCAGATGGGAACGTTTATGCTCAGAAAGGTTAGCTAGCCTAAGCGAGGAGACACACTTTTCAGGTCATGACTTGAAATCAAGTCTCTTCGAGACTACGCTGAGACTCAGTTTTCACTTATTTAGTTAGAGCTGGTGATGCACAGTCATGGCCCTTAGCAAAGCTGGAAGTTTGTCTTCCAATACATTCTTAACATTTCCCTTGGGAGCCTTTTCCCTTGGTATATTCTCTCATCAACCCAAACCTTCTAGTTCCTTCCTTCGATAAACCATAATGTCCAAATACTCGAAGTGAGTGTGTGTGGTGTGGCAACACTAAGCTTATTCTCATTGGCTTACCCTTCCAGCCTAGATGACCCCATTTAGTCCTTGAGTACTGAACTGTGTCCCAGAGGTTAGGCTTCTGGAAATCAGTTCCAGGATCTTACTCAGTGGAGTGAGTGAGTGTGTGTGTGTGTGTGTGTGTGTGTGTGTGTGAGAGCGCGCGAGACAGAGAGACAGATAGAGAACACCTAAAATATACTTAGCATGAGGGAACGCTGTCCACACTAGAGCTGACTGCAGACTCAAAAAATCACTACAGATAAAAGAAACAAAAACCTAGGAATCTAATTTGAGTCTAGAACTACCTGCATGAGTTGCTTCCTATGATGTGTCTTTATAGAGAGCACACTGTGAAGGAGGGCCAAACTGAGGGGAGCAATAGTGAATGGAGGGAGACCCAGGTGTCCGAGGAAACCGAGTTGTGTTTGCCAGCAGTGTGATGAGAAGTAAATCACTTCACCTTTTAAGGGTCTCTTTTTTCTCACGAAATGCTACCATGTTTCCTACCATGCAGGGTCACTGGCGGAGATCATGAGACAAGGATATGCTCCTCTGTTCGTGCACAGTGCAGAGCACGGAGTCTGCACACTGCAGGGTGCACGCTCAGCCAATCCGTGATGAAAGTGTCCAGGGTGGTCTTGTGAGCCAGGCGCTGTGCTAGGTGCTATGGGTGGTGGGGAGTCATACATAGTACAGGCTCTTGAGCTCTTAAGGAATGTGTATCCCTAAGAGGGAAGGCTGATAATATCCACTAATGTGAACAACGTGGCAGAGAAGAATTTTGGAAAGCTCAACTTCACCCACGAATTATAGAAGCAGTGTGCAATACTTTAATGATGAGGTTTAAAACGCTGGCTCACATACCTGCCATCCTTCTCGGATTTTCTGATTGAAGATCCCGTACTCGTATCGGATCCCATAGCCATAGGCTGCCAACCCCAGGGTCGCCATGGAATCCAAGAAGCAGGCTACGTCAAAAGACAGCATCATGAAATGGCATCAGAATTGTAAGCCTTTCTCTACAAAAGGCTATCGGCTATTTTCTATGGGAAACCACATTTGCATTTTTAAGCACAGGCACTCTAGTACAGTAGGCTTTGATTTTTTAAAATAGTGAGGAATAGTAATACTATATTGTGAATATACTACAAGCTATGGAATCCTACATTTTTAGAGAGCAAGTTTTAAGCTGCTTAAATTACGTCAAAAATGCCAACATTATAAAAACCTAGAAAATGCAAAAAACCAACCAAACAAAAAAACCCCACACATATAAATGCAAATTATTGCTGTTAGGTGCTGTCAAGTCCATTCTGAGTCATAGGGACCCTATGCACACAGAACGAAACACTGCCCGTCCCGTGCCCATCCCACGATCATTTTAGTGCAGCCCGCCTTTGCAGTCCCCACGCCGATGCACCTTGCTGAAGGTCTTCTTCTCTGACCGGCTTTAACAAGCTTGGCGTCCTAATCAGCACTAATACAGCATTATGTATACACTAGTACAGCATTATGTATACACTAGTACAGCACTATGTATACACTGTTACAAAACCTGACCTCACCGTATTCTTACGTTCTTTAAAAAATGCCTATTAATGACTGCATGAGTATATCCCCATTTACTGAGTCCTCTAGTTTGGGAATCTCCACTGTCTCTATTTTTCTATAATCAAAACTATGTTTCAATTAATATTATGAGGCAAAAGTCCCTGATTATTGTGAAGAGCTCCTCAACGTCGAATTACTAGACCAAGTGGTAAGAAGATTTTTGACTCTTGATATGTTACCAGTCTCCATTATCACCGACAATGAAAGAGCAGGCCAGGTTATGTTATCAACCTGAGCCTTCTGCAAACCAGAATTTCACAATTTAAGCTCTGACACTCTACCCTCTTTCAGTTTTGGATTATATAATCTACACTCCTTGGGTCATGGATGTTGGTGAGCTTCCATGTGAGCTTAGTTGACATCTCCTCTGGATGGCTGCTTGTTTGGAAACAAGGCTTTCAGACCCCAGACACGGTTTTATCTGATAGCCAGGCCCATCTAATTTTTTCACCACACTTTGCTACAGCACCCATATCTTCTGTGTTCCCTTCTTGACGACGAGTATTAAGTAGGGCCTTGACATAAGAACTAATTGTTCTTAAATTAGAGCTGGGATTAAATGCGAGCCCATATTCCATTCCTAGACCTATGTTTTTTATCTGAAGGGGGCAAGGGTTTTCTGGGAAAGTTTTTCTTGCTGCTGCATCTTTTTTCCCATGAGGGTGAGCCAACAGCACCAGGAGATCCAGAATGTCCACATACCCGGGCTGCTGAACAAACTGATCTATGGATGCCCCAAGGAGGCCCTGGCCGCACACTGCTTATGCATTGGGCTTCTAACCCAAAGATCAGCAGTTCAAAACCACCAGGCACTCCTCGGGAAGATTAAGGCTTTCTACCCCTGTAAAGAATTACAATCTCAGAACCCCCTGTGGACAGCTTTACCTGTGCTACAGGGTCACTGTGAGTCAGAATCACCTCCATGGCAGTGAGGTCTGGGTTGTGGAGGATGCCCCAACCACTCGGAGTTATGGTTCTGTTCTAACGCATATCAATATTGATTTTTTTTTTGTTTCAATGAGGTTTTCTGATACTCGTAGGCAAAAGCATTTTTTGGACAGAAGCCGTGGCCAGGAGCAACAAATTGACATGGTAGGTAGGGAGAGGTCTTTCTTGTGGCTTGACACAAACTGAGGAGTTTCAGTAAGCTGAGTTATCTTCGCAGAAATGTAAACTTGGAGGCTAAGAGAATTTATCGTGGGAGCTGAGGGTTGACGGATGCAGGAGAGAGGGACTGGATTCGGTTCATGGTGAAGTCCTTGAACAGAGATCCAGGAACTGAAGTAACCAAGGTCTTCAAGCTATTTTTATAGCTTCGCCGTCTACATATCCCCATGCCCACGTGCCCGGCTCCAACTCCAGGCCTCCTTTGATGAACTGTGGTTGCTCGGATTTTCACCCTGCCCAGAAGGGGACCTCTCCGTTTGTGGGAGCTAAGAGATGAAGTCAGCTAGGAGAGTGCCTGCACATCAGGTAGAGGTGCCTTTACCCCAGGGACTTTGCTCTGCTTGCTGGTCCTTTAACAGGGCCAGTATTTCTCAAAGAATGGCAATGCTCAGGCCCTTTAAGGAAGTGGTTAGAAAAGTAAATCAGCTGAGAGATGGTCCTTTGTTTCTTTCTCCTGGTAGAGAATGATTCAGCTTCTTTTACCACTTCACTTTTGGACCTTATCAGTGGACAAAAGGCACAAGGTCATTAATGTCAGCTCACAGTGTGGGTTAATCTAGCCAAACACGGAAAGCAAGTTTCTGGTCTTGGCTGTGCCTGCCACTGGCTCTGGTGGAAAACCTATTGAATTGCCTAGTGATTAAGTTCCTAAGACGGTGGCAAAGGTCCCAAAGGCTTGGTTTTCTGTTACTAATGCCAATGCTAACAGACGATATGACTAATTTAGTGAGGATTAAGATTATGAAATTGATTTCTAATACCGTGAAAGTGTGAATAATATCATGAAAATGCTAACTAGTTCTAAAATAAAGGAGACAGGTATTCACCCTTTTTAAAGTATAGCTTGATATGCACACATGTGGTAATAAGAGTTTTTTATTAAATTTAAAATTCACAAGCAATATATTAATACTTTCTCTTGATGAAAATGAACAAATGGGGCTAGCTCCTTAATTCGGCACAACTCCTAGACCTTTTTTCCCAATGCACTGCCATATATATGTACCCATAGGAAATAATTTTTTACCATGTTCTCACAACAGTATTTTTATTTTATTATTATTTTTAATAAATCACTTTATTGGGGACTCTTACAGCTCTTATAACAATCCATTCATCCACTGTGTCAAGCACATTTGAACATATGTTGCCATCATCATTTTCAAAACATTTTACTTCTACTTGAGCCCTTGGTATCAGCTCCTCTTTTTTCCCTCCCCCATCCTCCTACCCTCATGAACCCTTGGCACATCATAAATTATTATTATTTTCATATCTTACACCATCCGCTGTCTCCCTTCACCCATGTTTTTGTTGTTCGTACCCCTGGGCAGGGAAGGGGGGCCAGGGGTTGTATGTTGATCAATCATTGTGATCGGTTCCCTCTTTCTCCCCCTTCTTCCCCCACTTGCACAATATCTCTGCTCTCATTATTGGTCCTGAGGGGTTTATCTGTCCTGGATTCCGTGTGTCAAGAGCTATTATCTGTACCAGTGTACATGTTCTGATCTAGCCAGATATGTAAGATAGAACGGGGATCATGCTAATGGGAAGCATTAAAGAACTAGAGGAATGTTGTGTTTTGTGGGTGTTATATTGCACCCTGGTTGGCTCGTCCCTTCCTTGTGACCCTTCTGTGAGGGGATGTCCAATTGTCTACAGATGGGTTTGGGTCTCCACTCCAACCGGCCTCATTTGCTTCCCTGCTAGATGGCCGCTTGTTTAACTTCAAGCCTTTAAGACCCCAGACACTATACCTTTTAATAGCTGGGCACCATCAGCTTCCTTCACCACATTTGCTTATGCACACATTGTGACTTCAGTGATCGTGTCAGGAAGGTAAGCCTCACAGAATGCCAGGTTATTAGAACAAAGTGATCCTGCATTGAGGGAGGACTTGAGTATAGGCCCAATGTCCATCTGCCACCTTAATATTTAACATATAAATATATGTACATAGGCCTCTATCCCTATTAATATATTTACATATATACATGCTGTGGCAGTTGCATAATCTCCTGTCAACTTGAGCAAAGAGGTGGAGTCTAGCCTGCACTTGATCTGGACTGATATGTTTTCTCAATATATAATTGCTCTTTTTTTTTTTTTTAATGTATGACTCAGCACATTCTTAGTATTGACTTTATTTTTTTTTTTATAAATCAATTTATTGGGGCTCATAAAATTCATCACAATACATAGATCAATTGTGTAAAGCACATCTATACATTTGTTGCCCTCATCATTCCCAAAATTCGCTTGCCTCTTGGGTTCCCGGAATCAGCTCATTTTCTATAAAGCTTTTACTTATCCACACATAAGTGTTTATGAATTTGTTTCTCTAGTCAACCTGGACTAACACACATACCTATATTTATACCTTTATACTTCTATAAATTTCTTTTGCCTCCTAGTTCTTTCCTGTAAGGAAATAAATTTTTTTAAAAACAAAAGCTATCATACTATATGACTTTCAGTGCAAATGGGTTTCCTTTAAGTTACTTCTCACATTTGACGTTGACAAACAAGGCACATGGCTGAGTGTTTCACTAGGGTAGGTATTAAGAACTGGACTTCCTTGGTCCTGGGGATAAACCAAAACCAAACTCACCACCATTGGGCCCATTCTGGACTACAGAAACCTTAGTGGACAGGGCAGAACTGCCCCTGTGACTTTCTAAGACTGTACTTCTTTACGGAGTAAAAAGCCCCATCTTTCTCCCAAGGAGCGGTGGTGTTTTTGAACTACTGGCCTTGAGGGTTGCAGCCCAACTTATAACCACTATGCCACCAGGTCTCCTGGGTATGGGAATACATAGATTTAATTGAATATCTGGTATTGTATTTTCAATGTTGTCCTTAATCTGCTGAAAATCATTATCTTATCACAACATAGGACTCACATTGCATCCACACACACAAAAAGAGCATTGATTAATTATATCATACCAATAAAAACAAGTGTATCATTATCCGCTCACTCACTCAAAACTCACTGCCATCCAGTCCACTTTGACTCAAAGTGACCGTAGAGGACAGGGAAAAACTGCCCGTGTGGGATTCTGAGACGGTAACTCCCGACAGGAGTAGAGAGCCTCGTCTTTTGCCCACAGGCTGGTGGTTAACTGATAAGTGTACTGGACAGTAAGCAATGGTAGAACAACGTGAGTCATATCACACAACTACGTGATCATATCACACACAAACGTGGATCCTATCACACAACTACGTGAATTGAGCAGCTGTGAACAGGTAACAGTGAAGTAAAGGGGCCACTTTGAAAACAGCTAAGCACACAGGAAGGATCTGGTTAACGTTCAGGTGTTTAGCAATGTCAAGGGTTTTAGGCAATGTCTCCTTTTGTTTCAGTTCCCTTCTCTACAGTTGGTCTGGAATTGCTCACAAGAACTCAAGAGTAGGAGATGTTTGTAACCAGGTCATACCTCCCACCCCCTAGGAAGCTTGTCTAGTTCTTCAAAGCATGCCAGGCACGAAGGCATCAATTGCCCAGACAACGTCACTTACCCGCAAGCCTGCCAAGCCCGCCATTGCCAAGCCCAGCGTCTTCTTCGATTTCTTCTAACTCCTCTATATCCAAGCCAAGCTGGTGATGAGAGAAAAATCATAGTGAGTGTCGCTCATTTCACACATAGCTGTCACTTCCTCAGGCCTGGGTCAGGCATTCAGGTTTATCTGTGCATTCTCAAACTAGGTCCTTCAGTTTGTTCTGGCCTGACTTTTCTGGATAGACTAAAGTTCACCTCCTTATCACAACATATTTACTCAGTAGGGTCAACAGTTGTCCACCCAAACCAGTTAGTGAGTCATTGACGTCATCGTGTGGGCCTGATAGCAGCGAGGGATGTCTCCGCCATGTGGTTTAGCTCCAACCAAAAAACGAACTGCCACTGAGTCCATTTTGACTCATAGGAACCCTCTGAGGCAGACTGGAACTGCTTCCTAGAATTTCTAAGGCGATAAAACAGTCTTATCTTTCTCCCGTGGAGTCGCTGCTGGGTTCAAACTGCTGACATTGTGGTTAGCAAGCCAAGTTCATAACTCACGAACATACCGGACGGAGTTCCTGATGTCTAGCTAAATAGGGATATAAGTCTCGTCTTCTCTTTTGGGGTGGCTAGGGGGAATCTGTACCTTAGAAGTAGATGGGATTGGCTCCTAGAGAGCTTCCTGCCCTGAAGGATTTGGGGGATTTGTTACAGTCCATAGCACCACTAGAGACCACTTTGAATTTCCATCTCACAGTGAGGAAATTGATGGTCAAATAAATGTCCTATGTGGACCAGAGGATCATCTAGCCCATGCTTGCCTTGGTTCTGTTGTGAAACAAATGTGTTTCTTTTTTTAAAATCATTTTATTAGGGGCTCGTACAACTCTTATCACAATCCATCCATCCATCCATTGTGTCAAGCACAACAAACGTGTTGCTCATCTGAAAGTCACACACTCCATAAAATTCCGTGTTATTTCAGAAGGAACAGAAACACATTTGGAAACACATCCATCAGATAGAGCTATGCTTGAGATTGATACCCGGGTTTCCACGGGCCACCTGTTTGGAGTCATATCCTCCCCCAGAAGTTACCTTCACAACAGGAAACACAATTTATGAGCTGAGGAGAGCTGCAATGGTTTCTTCTCATAGGAAACACTCTACCCTAGCCCATGCTAAAGAGATATCACCAAGCCAACACACTGCCAGCAAGTCAGTTCTGACTCACAGCGACCCCACAGGCAGGGGAGAACTGCCCCATGTGGGTTTCTGAGACTATCACTCTTTTTTTTTTCCAAATCATTTTATTGGGGGCTCGTATAACTCTTATCACATTCCATCCATCCATCCATTGTGTCAAGCACATTTGTACATTTGTTGCCATCATTTTCAAAACATTTTCTTTCTACTTGAGCCCTTGGTATCAGCTCATTTTTTTCCCCCCCAACTGTAACTCTTTAAGGGAGTAGAAAGCCTAATCTGTCTCCCGAGAAGCAGCTGGTGGTTTTGAACTGCTCATCTTGAGGTTGGTTCTCATTCAGAATGTGTCATTGCAAATGCACATCCCTCTTTCTAACCACCTCAAAAAGGTGATGCACATATGTACAGGAAACTCAGGGAAGATGTTCCTCAGACAAAAACAAAACAAAAAACCACTAGTAAATTAGCTCTAAGACTGCCGATTCCTCCTTAAGTATACTTTGCATCTCATGAGCAGTCATTAGAGAAAGTATGATAACAGGTTTTTTAAAAGTTCATCATTTTCACGTATTGCCTTCACAAATGAGTAACAATCAAACTTGGGGTATTTCTTAAAAAGTAGATAGGAGCACAAAGCTATGCTTGTGATTCTGGCAGTGGAAACTCAGGTCCTTGCCAACGCTGGTTCCGATTGCTAACTTCTAAAGTGAAACTTGCTGGGGACTGCTATCAGAAACTTTGACTACAAAGTGACATTTTCATGAGCCATAACCCATTCTTCAACTCCTTTTCCAGGTTATGTTTCTGAAATCAAAGATCAAGTCGTTTATATTTCTAGTGATCGCCTCTGTGATAGCCATGACTATAGATGCCATTTCTCAACATGTTCTTGCTACGTCTCCTTGGTCCCTACAGCGAACTTGAACTTTCCAGGGCGAGGGTAAGAGGAATGTGTGTGACAGCTGTACCTGGTAAATGGCCTCATCGCAGGCGTTTTGCAGGCCAAGGTTGATCATGGTGTTCTGTAACGTCCGGCCCATGTAGAATTCCAGAGAGAGGTAATAGACCCGCTGAAAGAAAGGAAAAGAGAGGCGATGTGCTTTACTCGGCGGCATACAAACACAAGGCCCTGGTGCTAGACACAAACAGCCTGGGTCCTGGGGCACAGGTCCACGTGAGGGGTTGCAGTCTTCTCGACAAAAGCACTATTGACAACGGGCTTTGGGAAAACGATCTTGCACCTATTTGTGGCAAAGCAGTTGAGTGTTTTTCATCCCCTTGAGAAAAAGGCCAGATTCCAAGTAGCACAGCACGGTGTGTTCTTTTCCCTCCAGTTCATGAATCTTATGAATAAAGCATGTGTCTTGGAGACCCAGAAAGTCATACTGCCTTATAACTTAGCATTCCTTCATAAAAGCACCTTGGTGGGCAAGGGTCAGGAGACTTAGGTAGGACTATCAAAAACAAACAAACCACACAAAGATGAACTCTTTCATGGTATAGTCCATGACAAGAACGTATAACTCCTTGGCTGACATTTGACTATTTCAGAAAGTCCGTGCCTTCTAAATATCAAATGTGTAAAGTTTATTTAGTGTCTGTTTGTGACGAAACAAGAAATATCCGTATGTAGAGACAATTCATCTTTAACATGGTAAAAGCCAAATAAATACGACCAGAATTGAAGAGAGAGGTATAAGGATCAGATTCATCAACAATCTTTTTATATATAAGTTTACTAAGGGTTTCAAAAAAAAATACACCAGTGACGGAATTTATTCCCTTTTACGCCATCTTACTCTCCGTATTAGTTTAACTTTTTCCTCACCACCCAACACACACAAAATCTGAAACTGTGCTCATGTAAAGTCACCTCATCTATCAGGGACTCCCTTGTTTTTGGAAAATCAAAAAAGTATGAATAGGGTGGACTATAACAGACACCTACTATAATACTTAACTTATTAGGCAGGCATATTATTAATACCACAACTCACTGCCATCGGTTGAGTTGAGACCAACAGCAGCTCAATGGCTAATACACTACACCCCCAGGGCTCCTGAGGCATACAGAGAATTTAAAATAAAAACGCTACTTTAGAAGTTTCACTCTTTCCCACTCCTATTTCGTCCAACAGTTAATTCTTAGTTTTGGAAGCAATACACTCAAAAGGGCCTCAACTAGGCAGAGAAGTAAGAACGGAAGAAAGTGGGTGAGACGGGAGGTGGTCAGGAAAGTAGGACTATGGTTCTGTCTAGTATGTTCAGTAAGCACTTGGAAATGCGCAAAGGCATGTGAGAAATGATGTAGAATTCACATGCGGTGGGAAGGCTTTGGACATAACTAGTGACTCTTGGCTCCACGAGCAACTTCATGGTGCAGACATGCTATTGACAGTTGCTGAGCCAGTCATTTTCTTGCTGTCTCCCCAGTCTCTCTCAGAATACAAGGCTCAAGGTGAAGGGAATTGCTTAGGGAAGAAGCCACGACAGGGCAGCTTACAAAGTGAACATGGTCTATGGTATTAAATGCTAAGGAGGTGAAAGAGGGTCATTCTCCAGCTTAAAGCAAGGAATTTAAGAGTGTGTTAATAGCCCTGGCTCCTCCAATCAGGTCCCAAATTACTACTAGATATAGGTATATAGCCCCCACCCCCACCCCATCCCCAGGACAAGTAGGGCTGCGGCCAGCTGCCTGGTCTCCTCTCCCAGCTAGGACTCACACCACCCACACCCTAGCTGCCACAGCTAGCCTTTCACCTCCACTTGCTGTACCCAATCCCTCCCCCAGCAATGCCCTCCCAGTTCGCAGTGTCCCGCCTCCTCCACCCCACCTTCCCAGATTGATCATAGGAGACAGTCCCTGCGAGCTGCTCCTGGGGCCCAGAGGAACGTTATTCGGGACCAACAGAGCAGGGTCATTGAGTTCCTGTGTTCAGCAGCCTGGGGCCTGAGTCACAGAGTCCCCTAGCCTCTATCCCTCAGGAATGGAGGCAGTATGAGACCTCACAGCCTACTCGCAGGGACCCGGGCAAAGAGGGGAACACAGCTCCCTGTGCTCCACCACACGCAAGAGGTGCCTTTGATAGGCCAGCAAGGGCTGGGTCATCCACTCTTGCTTTCAATCTAATCCACCTAAGGCTATTCAGACAAAGAGATGCTGCCTTATCCCTTAGCTTTTAGCCAACTCATCGAGTCAATTCGGTCTCACAGCCACCCTAGGGCAGGTAGAACTGTCCCTGCGAATTTCTGAGACTGTAATTCTATACCGGAGTTGAAAGTCCCTGTCTTTCTCCACTGTCTTCGAACAGTTGACTTTGCCGTTATGCCCAACCACTGTGCCACCAACTTCGTATTTGTCTCTCTTCCCCAAATATTAATCTGAGAAGACGAGCTTGTAATTCCTTTACTCGGGGCCTAGTAGGGTGCTTGGCACACAGGGCAGAAGGTGCCCCTTGACCTCTAGATTAAGTGCTGTGAGTTGAAGCACCCAAAGTGTGTGAAATTCAGTGGGCAGGGAGGAAGGCCTGTGCGTTCGCTCACCGGGCGGTGCCCGGGAGCAGCCATGGCAATGGGTTGGGTGGGGTGGCCGGATCTGTCCCCAGGCTCCGCCC